GAACCAAGAGGCCTAAGCACTTAAGTCCTTAAATTGAATGGCAGAGAAAAAAACAGGAGAGCTGTAGACAGGGACTAAAACACCCTTAAGCACACATGATTTTAAGTGAAGTAGTTAGGCATATGGGGAATTTACTTCCTTCTCAGAACCTGATCCACACGGGACATACCTTTGTTACCTTTGGATCAAGGCTTTCTAACATCTCTTGATAACTGTGAAGAAGCACCCTCATTAAGGCAGAAATGATCCCTTTTGTCCAGCCAAAACCTGCATTTTCACGAGGCTCATTATCTTCATCCTAGACACAATAAAGTTCAGTCTCTCCGGCTGACATGCGGCCCTCCAAGGTCTACCTGATGCTATGGGCTGCTGCTGGGTGTAGTGTACCACCTTTCCCCCAGAGCTGTAAGAGAAGGCACTGCACTTCATAAATTGTTGTGTAGGTCTTGCCAACACAGCCGGACCCAGGATGGTGAAAGCTCAGTTCCTAAACAAGCTGTTGGACATTTGAATGACATTAGTAGAGCTCACTAGCTTGAATCAAGGTAACAGAAGACACAGCATTTTCATTCAAGGCTAAAATATATGTTTTGATGTCTAAACTAGGTTCAAGAATACTCTCTGTGGGCTGAAAAGGATTTCCTTAAGGTATGGAATGATCTAGATACATATGCTAAGTTATAAGCATACTTAGTTCCTATTTCTTACTTTTAAATTAAAGTCTTTCATTCTAATGATTTGTCAGTAAAAATAATGTAGAGACAAGTGATGGAAGAAAGTAGCGACTAGATAGATAGGATATAAAAAGTGTGCCTCAGGTGTTCATAGATGTACACGTTTGACTTCAAAATGGAAAGAGGGGCTAAAGAAATTGTAGACTAAGAAATCACTGAGGACCTGCTTATGCCACTCTTCTGTACATTAAACCAAATCTTGACTTATATACATTTAAAGCCCAAGGAGCAATGAGTATCTATTTCACTCAAAATTCCTGGAAATATTGAATATTAGCTTGCTCCTATTAAATTGTATATTTGGAAAAAATTCTTCTCTGAAAGAGTGGTGAGGCTCTGGAACGGGCTGCCCAGGAGAGGAGGAGGAATCTCTGTCCTTGGAGGTGTTCAAGAAACAGTTAGATGTTGTACTTAGGGACATGGTTTAGTGGTTCATATTAGTGGTAGGTGGACAGTTGGAGTGCATGATCTTGGAGATCTTTTCCAACCTTGGTGATTCTGTGATTCTGTGATTCTATTCTATGATTATTTTACTTCACTAGGGATGCATGCTCTGACCAAAAAAAAAGAAACTTTCTGAAACAAAGGAAGTTTGATAAAAACATACACACACATTCCTCTCTGCTTCCTTATTTACACATTTTATACGTGAACCAATAAATCACACATTTTTCAGCCACACTATTCATACTGAGCAGAGAGTCATGACAGAACACTGCAGGCTGGTATCAGCTTTCAGTGAAAATTGTAACCCATCTGGAGTGTCAAAGATCACTCGATTGTTCCAAGGTATTTTTAGTGAGAATAGTTAATCTTTAAATTAAAAAAATAAAAATCTCTGTCCTCTGTCAGATGTTTTTACTGCCTTGTCAAGAACTTGACGTTTTTGCCTGTTAGTGAGAATCAAACTGTTTAAGGATTAAGTGATTACTAGAAGACAAAATATGATTTATTCTATGCCCGACAGCCAATTTACATAGTCACGTATGCTTCTCCATCTTAATGATAGCTCATAAAATCTATAATTTGATAAATTAGAAGACAATCATTTGTTTTATTCTGTAGCAAAGCATAACATTTTTCTTCCCTTCTGGAGAGAATTTTGTGGTATCTGCATGAAATTTTGAATTTTTATACGCTAGTTCATTCCGTTGATCTTATTGACAGGAATAATACCCTAACCCAAGGACCTGGGGACAAATAATGTGCATCAGCAGGCATGCGTAAGATTATCAGAGAAGCCATGTGAAATCTATATATTTTTTTTCCACTCTTAAGTCATAATTCAGATCTTTAGTAATCCACAGAAATAGGCCATGCCAGTGGGAACCTTTCTCTATTCTTGTTCTAAGTGTGTCTTCCGTCACCATTAGTGTCTCACCTGTGTGTCATTTGCTGGAGGTAATGGCAAAGTGCCATCAAGAAGACATGGTGCTTGAAATGTCTTTCAGATGGGTGCTGGCCATAGGGAATTACCTTAACTCCAACAGTGACTCTATGATAATCACCTAATGCATGAGTATCACAATTCTGCATTGGATTACACTTTGCAAGAATGATGTTTCCCATTACCTTTTTTTCCCGTCTCCTCACACTCATTGTATCTCCTGTCATCCTTTTAGCTCAATTCTCTTCTTGCCTCTTCTACATTTTTCCCCTTAGTTTTAGTCTAAACTGTCCCATAATCCATCTTATCTCCTTAGTGTTCACATTGTCCCTGTTACTTACTTTCTTGCCAGACCTGTTCTACCAAGACTTCACCAAGCTCTCCAGAAACCACAGCTACTGAAGAGAAATAGTGAGCTGTACTCAAACTTTACTGAATTAGAATTCTGTCCTAAATATACATGTATATATATTTATAAACTGAACTAAGTATGTAAGTTTCTTCATACAGAATGTCAAATCTTGACATTCCTCTTGTCTTACCTGAACTTAAGTTTGAATTAATTGTATGATATTTTCAGCATAATTCTGAAACCGATGTAGAGAACTTCACACAAACATAGCACAACAACCCAAACAGACTGTAAAACAAGCTTTCACTATTATAATTATAATTAACTTGTTACAGGTGAAGAATATGCTGGACCACTTGTATCTCAGAAGACTTGTGCCAAAATGCATCAAGACTGTTGTTTATCTGGAGAGTAAATTCTTGATTTTCTGTGAGTTGGCATGTTGCAGAAGCCATACCTTTTCAATGCACACTTATATTTGTAGCAAATGTTTGATTCTACTATAACAAATATATATCTATTTCTCTCCCTGTGGATTCTGTAGTGTTAGGTTTTCTTTAGTGTTCAAGAAGATACATGTAATTTAATAAACTCCACTTTCTGCAAAACCTAGTGTTTTTGTCTCAAGATCTTTTGGTACCTCAAACACATAGCTGAATATCAGCAACACTCATTAAATAGCCAAGAAAAATATCTGAGGGTGCAAAAATGACTGATCTGGGGCCAGAAATTGAATCAGAGGCAATGTTGGGAGTGGAAGTCCAAAGACTTCTGTTTACTGCACTTCATTCACTGACTCCTTCTGTAATATGTCTGTAGTGACTTTCATTTGAAGAGTGAAGTTTGTGCTTCTAAGAAGTAGAAAGCATTGTATTTGTTTATCAATCTTCTGCACCTGTACAGAGATTTAAAACTTGTATGCATTATAACAGTGTATTCATTGCTAGTGGTAAGCAGAGCCCTTGGTTAGAGATGACACCATGTTTTCAGTAAACCCTGGCTTGTTTCTTTCAGTATAGATAAACAGATATATAAATACATGTACAAAAATGTTCTCCCAAATTCATCTGAGCAATACATATTTACTCTGTAATAATGCATAGATAATTTGCTTTTCACAGTGAAACTAAGACCATAACCCAACTGCAAAGCATAAACTTTGTTTTGTTTTGATTTTTAGAGAAACATGCAAAGCTTCCAACACACCCAAAACAGGTATTCAAAGTAAAAGCCAACAGCCATTGTTTGCACGAATCTTTGCAAAGTAAAACCTCACTCACTATTTAGTTTCTTTGCTGATTCTGTTTCTTGCATCATCCTTTGGAGTATATTGCCTCCTTAATTCTGTTACCAGCTGCATGTTTTCTGAGACCCAAGTCTTTCTAGTTAAACCAAAGTGAACTAGCATGAAATTTGAATCATTACACTGCCCAAAGTAATGATCATTAGAAACGGAGCAACCATATTTTAGCTCAAATTTATCTTAGGCATCAAAATTATAAAAGATAGTAGAAGTATAAAAAAATGAGCTCTCAGAAAACATATCTTCCACAGAAAATTGCTGTAAGAAATTAAAGAAATCAATGAAGAATTAAATCCTATCTACGGAGTTTTAATAATTAGATAATAAATTCTATTTAACTTCACCATTATATTTCCCAGATGTTTTAAAATGCTGTATAAAGTCTAGTATTTAATATTATATTTTGCATAATAGTGTAGTATCTCCTACAAAGTGAATTAGCAAAATGCATATCTGAATGATTTTTAACCTAAATACATGCAAGTACAGCACAGATTTTGAGACCTTTAAGAAAACAGGTAACTTTTTATTTCCATAGCAGTAGCTATTCTGCTGTCCCATATTTGCAAAGCTAAAAGGATATTCTTTATCTTTTCAGGCATTACAGAAATGTTGAATAATTCATATCCAGAAGTACTAACTCTATGAAAAAAAATATGAAAAAAAAAGGCAATTTATTTTATTAGTTTCCCAGTTTGAAGATGTTTCAAAATATTTGTGAGATACTAATTTTACAGATGTAATGTCCTTGGGAAATGAAACTTGATGCCTGCTTCCCTAATCAGCCTTGACTCTTTTGTTTACTTTATGTATTATTCAGTTTCTGCCTACACGGTCTTTATTGGAAAAAAATAGATGAAATTCCTGAATAGTGGCAGAATGGATATTTTTAATTATTCGTGGCTATCATAAGATTTCAAATCACTACTGAATTCTTGGATTGCTTGAGAGGATGTTTCATAAGTTTGAATAAGAGAGAGACAGGAGAGATAACAAGGCATGAAACTATTTTTTCTTCAACCATAAAAATGAAAACTTATAAAAGACACTGAAAAAAAGAGGGAAAAAACGAGTTTTTGCAGCTTTTCCAGTCAGTCTGCATCTTGGCAGGTAGATTTATCATTAAGAAGACTCTGAAAAGTTTTACCTTTGCTCTGCTATTATAACGTATCACCACAAAAGGTTGAGCAACTTGGGAAAATGAAAAAATATCTTTGTTAAATATGATAGTAATTGTAATTTATTTCTCAGGTATTTTGAGTGCCTTCTTTGACATGGTGAGTGTGCTGGTCCTTGGGGTGAGATTATGGTACTCGTCACTCACTGGGTCTGAGACTTCAACTTGGCGTAATTTCTCTATTACAAAGCCCTGGAAAAAAAAAAAAAAAGACCAAAAAAAAGGCATCAGAATGTGGGCATTTACTAACGTTGGAAGAATTACATAAGGAATTTCAACAACTACAAGCCCAGTATTAATTAAACTATAAAAATGATCAGATTGAATTCTTCATTCCTGCAGTGTGTTTCCTACAGCAGTGTCAGCCCTGACTCAGCCTGCTGTGGATGAAGACCAGGATTTAATTAGTTTGGATGGGAATTTCATTCTCTGTACCCAAAGGTGTGTGTCTCTTCTTGAGCAGCCCCGGGGTGCCACTTCGAGTGGGTCTGGTGTTAGAAGAAACTGAGTGACAACAAACACTTAAAAGCTGCTTTTAGACACATTGGATGGGACTACCATGATTTTTGGCAAGAACCTGAACTTGATTCAGTACAGTAGTCTGGAAGGAAGAGGTACCATATCCTGTCACTTGTCTGCTGAGTCAGGTCCCTATCTTAATGGCTGCTTTGCAGAGCAGTAACAAGCAACCCCCCTTTTATTTTTTTTCCTTTAGAAACAAGAGGAGTTTCCATACCTGCACTCACGTCCCATGGGAAGCTGCACATAAGCAGCTCATTTTACTTGATCTATTTTATAAATTGGAAATGTATTGGCAAGAATAATTGTAGTCTCAATATCTAACTTGTGCAACATGTCACCAAAGGAAGTCTGAATAGTTTTTGAAATAGATTTTTAAAATGCAGCCCACAGGGCTCAGGACTCCTTTCTGTCTCAGAGTATCACAGAAAAGACACATGTGTTACCTCTGAAAATGTAATAAGCAACTTTAATGGCTTCTTAATGAAGGGAGTTCTTGTCCTTGTGTATTTGAGAGACGTGCATCATTAAAATACTAGAAAATATATATTTGCAGACCAATCCTACCAATTCCATCCATGAAGCTCTTTAGAAAATAGTAGTCTTTAGTACTGCTAAAGTACCTATATCTGAAGCCCTGAACACTGGAGAATAGTTTTAAGACACACTTCAGGTTAGAAGACTTGTCTTTAAACCAACTGATGTCTGACATCTGATCCTGTTTGGCAGCAGCAGCAGCATGGTAGGAACAGCCTTATTCTTTTCTTGGAGTACTATCCACAAGCACTGGGCTGAGCTTCAGTTCCTGCTATGTCTTTACCCCAAAGAATGGGAAGCACTGGTGGGCTCCACGTGGACAAGGAAGTTATCTGCAGGTTTTAAATAGATGTTAGGATGCTGTGCTGTTGTGTATCACTGGCTGGCTGGCTCAGTGGTTGCCTGTTCTGCCTCTTCAGCATTACTGAAATGTAGTTACCTCCTGAGTACCTGAGTGCAGCACAATGACAAAAGCCAAAACAGGCACAAGTTGATGTGGATGGGGGAAATTTTTGTACAGATGTTAATGCACTACTTACAACTGAAAGTCTGTCATAGAGTCGTTCCAGTCCATGCAGAACTTTTAGATTTCATCTGTATTTCCCAGCTTTTTCCACAGAGGATCAACATAGTACTCAGGTTATTCACTTGTACCAGTTTCTACCAAATTTTGTAACTAGAGAGCAGTTTACTCTCAGCCCATCACTACAGTCCTGCAGTCTTTAGGTGTTCCAGAGACTAATTAATTCCTTGTCTTCATTGTGAGAGAGGGAGAAGTTTTTTATCTCTCTCTGACAAGATATGAATTGCTGCTTAAAAGCTCAAGATCAAAATCCATCGAGATGTCTAGCTTGTTGTTTGGAAAGCAGTGAAAGTTAGGGTACCAAAAGAGGCATGACATTGTGCTAAGACTTTTGGACGCAGTAGCAATCTCTAAGCAAGGGCAAAGCAGAGGACTAAATTCAGGTTGTCCAGTTCTCTGCCTTAATCAGTAAGCTATCCTTTATCTCTGGAAGTAACAGTGATAAATTGAATTGAGGGGGATATAAAACATGATTACAACCTCAGGTCGAGTCGTGGGCCAACTTTGTAACCACTCCAAGGCCAGGATTTATCTTGGTCCCTTCTCCATTTGTCTAAGTAGTAAAATGGAAGATAAAAATATTTTTAAAACCTGCAGAATTTTATTTTTAAAAATTTGTATGCTAAAATTCTTTGACTTGGCTTTACACTTCTGCTGATTGCAATTGTATTGCTGGATTATTAAAACGAACAGGCAAACTTCTAAATAAGAAGCCAGATTAGTCAACTAAGTTGTGGGTCATACTTTTGTCCTCATTCTAATGAGCCCTGTGAGGACTGAAGGCATGTTGCATTTTGTCAAACCAAGAGAAGTAGAAGTGCTGCAAACCTTTTTTTTTTTTCCTTTAGAGACTTTGGAGTGAAATTTGTCCCTAGAATTTTCTAGAAGCAGAGGGATTCAGTCATTTCCTTTTTTTTAAGGTGCATCCAACCTACATATCTTCATAAGTGAGACCTGAAGGATGATGCTTTCTCTTTAAGGATGTTGCAAGAAACTCATAATGCCTCTTACAAAAGAGGCACCTAGAAAACTCATATACACTGCATTACAGAAGAAAAATCACTCCAATGTTAGTCCAACCACCTATTCTTCAGTCAAGCTTTGTGGGAAAAAAAAAACAAAAGTGAAAAGAAGTGAAAAATGTCCTTCTGTTATATATTCTTTCAACTCAAATAATGTAGATTTATAGCTAAACAATGATAGTTATAGTGAAATGTCATAATAAACTTCTGTATTGCCCATAATTCTTCAGAGGTGCTATGTTTGCAGCAATCAGATGACATCCACAATGTTCATGCATAGAATTGGAAAATAATCTGCAGAACTGCAGAAGCAAAACTCAACCAGCACTGAACATCAGGACACCTGGGAGCCCTCTTAGACTCTGGCAGACTGTTAATGATTTGGGCTTTTCTAACACTGCTCAGTGTTTCCAAATTCCCTCAAGTTTTTTTTAAGATATCTTTTATGCACTGTCAGCATTGGACCTATATAAATCGTTCTGATTTAGAGCTCAAAATGAAAGACTGCCAACATTGAGATGGTCACCAAGTCACGGTTGCCATGTGAAAAAAAGAATGAATTCAGACCCAACACTTAATGAACTTCAATTGTAACATTAGGCAGAGTTGGAGTCTCCTGAGAACAGAAGAACAGTGAGGTCAAAGAGGATCCCACCTGGCAGTTTTATCTGCATGCCTTAACCTGTATATTTTCCATGATCTAGGGATAAATTTGATGCTGGCAGGAAACAGTTTGTGAAGCACATACATCATTGCACTCATACTCTTGCCCCAGTCCCTTTCTCTGGCTCTAGGAGAGACATGTGCAACTGGGTCTTCTGAGCTTATCATGTAGGTCTTTCCATTTTCTCCATCTTCTGGGAATGAGGGCCCCAAATGCAAATTCCTCTTTGTTAACTACAGGAAGACAACAGAGGTGAACCCAGAGAACAGGCACAGGTCTCCCGTTGCAGGAGATATGTTGTATGCCATTGTGTATTTCAAGCCATATCTCCTGGTGTTTTGAGCCCTCCTGATCAGAGAGCAGAAGGAATTTTGCCCCTAAAGAGCTTCAAGCTACTTTCTCTTTACTCCTGATCCACAGGACCAAACATGAGTGCTCTGAGGCTGCCTTAAATGATGCAGGGATGAAAAAAGCCTGAGAATTCAAAGGGTATGAAAAGAGAACTTAAGCTTCATTCCTTCTCAGTTGCATTAAGGATGCCTTTGTGACAGCTAAGTTTGTGACTCTTGGTAATAATCATGGCCATTTTGATGAATTAGTATTGGCTCATAATAGCAGGACGTCAAGAGAACAAACTGTCATGACAGACACTAATTGTAAGGAACCACATCTTCTTCAATATTAGGTAGATACACTAGAAACTAAATCCCTATAAAACTGGCAAGATTTTAAAGATCAAATTCAAATGATATCCCTGATTGACACTGCAAATTGAACTCAAACAGATTTTGAATCCAGGTCTACGTACTGTCAGCCCATATAGATACACTGAAGTCGGCATTACCTGATGTGCTCTTTGGTTGCTTTTTCATTATACCAGATGACAAATCAGCAGAGATGTTTCACTTACAGCAAGCTACTGAAGTCTTACAAAACAGTTAGAATTATCTTGCCAAAAGTTGCAGTATTGGAAGGTAGCAGTCTTTACTTTTACAGCTTTCCTGGTGTAATTGTCTCCTTACCGACCATTAGGCTGGCCACAGTGTTTGTAAATATCATTGAACAGGAGAAAGATTTTTTTATTCCTTTCTTTTAGCATCTTTATAAAATATGATCACTCCTCATTTTCTGAAATCACTAGATCGAGAGAACAAACCCAAGCCTGTACACAGATTCCCATCCACCTCTGTATGCAGCAACCTGCAATGAGGACAGGAGGTGAGCTTCCGGAGCCATTGCAATCATTCTATTTGCCCAGGGCTCCAGTGCTGCCCACTGAAGCAAGGCTAAGTCTCTCTCTTGATCCGGAGCCAGCTCAGTGCCTTATTATAATCACTGGGCACACGCTGCACGTGAGGTGTGTTGTGAATGACAGGGACCAGTCTGAGTCTGACATTTCTCTGGATTTCTCTGAGATAAAGACCTGATGTCAGATGGACTGAGAGAAGATAAATATATGGGGCTATGGAGGCTGAAGCTTTCCAAAGCAGACATTAATGTCTGCTGAGGTGATGCTGGTACAACAGCCATCTGGGACATTACTGCCATAACAATTATTGTGTACAGTCATCAGTGTGCTGGCAACAATAATCTTTGGTTTTATTTCTTCAGAAACCCTGCTTTCCAGAAAAGAATGATGGAACTCAAAGATGTGTTTATCAAAATCACTATAGAAATGAGGTATTATTGGATCTAATATTATGTTTGGAAGACCCACAGGTGCAATGAAGGTGAAGCGGCATCCACTGAACACTGGGACAATACAAATCATGGCCAGGAACACCTGCACAGGAAGCCTCACTCAGTGTATTGCCCAAGTGTTTCATATAGTCAAAATGATTCCTAGCAGCCAAACCTCTGCCTGAGA